ATATATATATATATATATATATATATCTGTGTGTGTGTGGAAATCACTTATATATATAGTTTTAGTGAAAAATATCATCCTATGCTTCGTTGAGGCTTCGGCTCGGTTTCCGCCCCACGGCAAACCCTAGCCTCTGTTACCTGTAATTCCTCGCTTGTAGAAGAAGGGGAGTACGCTCCCTGTTCCGTCGTCTGCTTCGTCGAGATGCGCCTGTGCTCGCAGCTCACTATAGGGTCGATCGCGCTCTGCGGCTCCTCTCTTGCAGTTTCAACCTGATCGTGGCTCGCGTTCTACTGTTTCGACCAGTACGCGCCTGTTTCATCTTCTGTGGTTATCTCTTTCGTCCTGCGCCTGTTTCTGCGGGTTCAACTTCTGTTGCTTCGACCCAACGCACGTCCATTCGCGTCTGGTCGCGCTCCATCAGATCATACCGTCTGATTTCTTTTGCTTTTGCATATGCGGGCTGAAGGATCGTCGTTATGGCGCTTCCTTCTTCGGTTGATCCTGACAAAATTTCTTTCGCCCACGTGGTGAGTAATCAACTTGCGGAATCTATTATCGTCTTCCTCTCAAGCTATAAAGAATGTCGTGATGGTACGAGTGATTGTCCTTTTCTTAAGAAGATAAGTAGGAATAATGGGAAAATAACAATATTTTTCTCTGATTCAGAAATTTCAAACCTAAGTGAGAAATTTAAGTTCGCTTTTTCTGAAAAATTTCAGTGGGGGCACCCGCCTATGAATGTTATCAGAAAAAGTGGTGACGATCTCAAACTTGTAGGCAAGTGGAAAGTGAGACTTTTGGATAAGAGACATGTGTTGATTCAGTTAACCCTAGCTGAAGACTATGCTTGGATTTTCTCTAAAAAATATCTCAATATTGTAGGCAAGTCAATGACGTTTCTCAAATGATCTCCTGATTTTGACCCAAATCATAAGTCTCCTACTGTTCCGGTATGGATTAGTTTATCTGGTCTCAAGTTGCATTTCCTTAATCATCAAAATCTTTATTCTATTGGAGTCATTCTTTGAGATCCTATGAAGCTAAATATGCCCACCTTTAACCTAACCAGACCTTCTGTGGCCAGAATACTTGTGAAAATGGATATTACTGAAGTCTGATTGGACACAACTCACAATAGATATTGACAACCAATTATCATGGAACATAATTCTTTTTATTGTACCCACTGTAAGATGTTTGAGCATACACTTGATAAATGTGATAAATGTCACAGACTCAAATGTCACAGACTCCATCTAAACTTGAAAGCTAAAGCTCAAGCAAACAAAGAGGAGTTCAACCCCTTTGCTATGGACACATCTGCTTAATCTGTGGAGGAAGTTCCCACAAGACAGGATTTGGTGTCTAATTTGTCTGTGGATCCCACCCTTGCCAACACCGCAGTTCCTCATGAAGAATATCATACTACAGGTACAGATCCAAATGTGTTTATACCACTCACTATTATTGAAGAATGTTCACTTACATGCCAGAACACACGAGAGTGCTTCTGCTCCCTTGATTCGATAAAAGACCAGCTGATACAATAGGTAGTTGCTTCTAATGTTCGACAACCTATACATGTCCGACACACTTTAGACCAATCCACTGACCAGACGAGCCAATCTTCAGATGAGGAATGACAAGTCTATTCCAAGAAGAAGAAGAATAGAGGCCGACTCGATCTCGAGAATTTATTGGATGATACATTGGTTACTCCTGACAATTACACTCATCTCACCAATTTATTAGCTGACTCCTTCCCTAGAACTAGAGGCAGAGGCAAGACAATTGTGTCGCTCTTTAGTTACCTGATAATCTGGATTCTGACACTTTTTGGTTTTCTTTTCTTTAGGTCTCTCATGTATTTTCTCTTTTTGGAACCATTTGCTTATAATGGTTATCGTGTGGGTTGGTGCTATGTTTGGGCCCTCCCTCACAATCTATCTGTATCCTACTTTCTTTTTAATATATTAGCTATTGGGCTTTCTCAAAAGAAAAATAAATAAATAAATAAATAAATATAAAAAATAGCTATCTCTGTTTATATATGTATCATATATGTATATATTATAAATGTTTCAGTCAATACATGCTATGCTCTGTGGGTCGGTGCTATACTGACACGGCTACAGTAACTTAAAGTATACTTTTAATTTTCAAAATGTTTGAATGAAATTTAGAATTGTATAAAAAATAATTTTCATAACTTTCTTGGGGGGCAAAAAAGGTGTATAATTCAATAACTAATTTTAACTTCTGTCGTTTTTAGGTATTACACAACATCCTTGCAACTCTCTGGACTACTGAATTTGGCATATAGTTTCTTAGTTTCAGTAAATTTTAAATTTTTCTTGGCTGAACTTTACTCGTACAAAATTCAGTTCTCTCTGTTTAGCTCAATACCGCTCTAAATTAATCTTATGTGCACTACTATTCTCATTACAAACAGATATTTGGAACTTGCCCTTTTACATTGTCGGCGCTTCCTGGAGGACCATCACCTGCATAGCCTCCAACGGTTGGCCAGGATGATGAGGGGACTTGCAGATCCTCTTGCATCTGCCTATTGCCATCTTTATTTGGCCCACCGTGCAGCATTGGTACATTGTAACGATACTGGTAAAGCTCAAGCTCTTCAAGTTGTAAGAAAGAAAATAAAAACCAACTTTTCTTTGTTTTTTTTTTCTTTTCAGAAATGGCGATGTAGTCAGATAACCTCCGCATGTAGTTATATATATTTTTTTATAGGGATATGAACATATTAGTAATCTTACTTGTAGTTTACCTTATCATTTGGACTTTGATCGGATTGTTGCATGGTTTAGGAAGAGTCAAAAAGCATTCAAATGGCTTTCTAGTAATTGTACTTTGTTTTGATAATTTAGCTGTATCTGGAAGTTATTAATTATTTCATGCTAATTTTCATACAATGGATCTTGTTTTCTTAGTGCGTACACTGAGATTTCTATTGAGGTAGCTTACAGGATTAAAATCCCCAATTTGAAACAAATTTAACCGATTGTGAATGGCTGATTGTGCCGTGTGATATGTTAGTATTAAAGTTATATGCTGCCGTGATCACTGTATATTGCATCCATATTTAGTTCTAGGCTGCCTTACTTGCTAACTAAATGGTCAATGGTCAAACAGATGCGGTTAGAAAAGTATAGTTCTCTTTTGATGCTACATATCTTTTTTTTATGCCAATTAATGTAATGTTATGTGATTTTAATCCTTTTTGTGCACATAAAATCTTGAAGGAAGAAGAGGAGCAAGTTATTTTTGTTCTGCATTCCTCTTGTAAGAGTCGCACCTATTTATTCAAGGAAAATATGCTTTTTGAATATCAAAATGCGCTTTACTCCAATGCTCAGTGATAGATGCTTGTCTCCACATGTTTTGAAGTATGAAATGAAATTTATTCTTTGATTTGTTACTGCCACACCTGGCAAGCAAGCTCATTTGCAGGGCATTGTACAAAATGGTTCTTTTTTTTAGACTATGTAGTTTCTTAGCATTAAAATTTAAGTATTGTCTTTTAAAGGTTCTGCTATTCTATTCAAATCGTATACTTCCATTTTACTTTTATATTAATATTCTTGTTATGCATGAATGATACAGGCTACTTGATTATGTCCATTAGTGATATCAACTTTTCATTGAGAAGGATTATTTCTGATAAACAAGCCAGTCAAAGTGATGCTGACTGGAACCATAAACTGTCCATAAGCTTGATCGAACCTACAATAGAGTGGATTATGAAGTGCTTATTGATGGAAGGAAGGCAGGTTAGCATGAGCACGTTTTGAAAGTCATTATTCTTTTTCGTCTAAACTGTCATGCTTAATATTTCATTGTTAGACAGGTTAACATGAGCACATATTTTAATTTGTTATCCAAAGCACATTTTAAGCTTTTATTATGATTAATCTAAACTGTCGTGCTTAATGTTTAATTCGTAAGGCAAAATATTTGCAATTTTACTGCATCGTGATAAGTTCTTTGATTTGTATACCCTTTATCTGTCAAAAAGTTTGTTTCCTTTGGAGCTTGCAAACCGCATGCAAATACTTTAAGTTAAATCTTGTAGCATATTCTTAAATCCAGCTCATGGATGACCTAGTGAAATGTTGGTGATCTGGTAAATGCTTAAGTTTGGGTCAACTGCGCTGATGTTTGGTAAATAGCATAATTTCAAATAATATTAGAAAATGTACATAATGATGTGTTTTTATTAGAAACAAATATAGGATAGTTGAAATGTAATTTTGTTTAAGTTTATATTTATGCAAAATAGGAATCAAATGCTTGCCTATTTCAAGAATTAGAAGAAAAATAATCATTTTTTTAGATATATTATTTAATAGATGCTTGCAGCTACTGTCATTTTTAATTTGAAATAGTTTTCCAACTTTAAAATTATTTTTTCGAATGTTAGAGTATATTTCTATATTATTCATCTAAGTTTTACAATGAAAGTGCGCATAAGCGACCTTATTGGTTGTTTGCCTTTTTGTTTTTTTTTTCAAAATCAACGAGCCTTTGCTGCAGTTGTAGGATTTTCCTTTACATTTCCTCCATGGTAATTTCATAGGCATCTCGCTCGTTGGCAGCATGGCGTCTTGTTCTTCCAACCGAAAGTTCGACTAGCTCTGATATTAAATGATACCGTTTTAGGGCTTCTATAAAGTGTTTAGGAAGCATAAGAGAGTTAGGGATGTTGTAGGATGGGTAACAGGAGTGGGAGGAAGAATGTTGATTTAATTCTGACTTAAATGGTGGCGGGTTAGCGATCCAAAAAAAATTGGAAGCAGTAATTTCCTGCTGCTGGACAAGCCCCTTTCTGCCATTGAACACCAGTAGCAGTGACGAAGGATGATTGCTCGGCTGAAAATTGCTAGTTGAGCATTTGAAATGGTATAAAGAGTGAGGTCTGCTGTTAGCCATCGGAAGAATTCGGCGGATGTCCGGTTGGAATACAGCGGGTCAAATGAAGAACGATGAGGATGTTCCACTACCTATTTCGATGTTACTTATACACCATTTGCAAAATGAAGATGATACAACAATCTGGATAGCATAAAACATATATTACAATTTCCAAACATAGTAATAATCATCAAAAGTATCCTAAACTAGAAATTAGCAATATATAAACAATCACTCAAGTCCAATCCTATTTAGAAATAAAGGAATAAAAATTGATCAAAAAAAGAACGAAATATTATGAAATATAATGAAATCAGCAAGTCTGGTGACATCCTTGGAGGCTTTGTGATTCCGTGATACGCTGGATCTTGGATTGTGGAATTTTTTTCCATGACCTTGCAGGCACGAAAAACTCTCTGGCCGTTCCTGCGTCAGGGGAGCTGAGAACTAATTGTTTTTTGGTTTGGTCTTTTGGAATGAAAAATTGATATTGTAAAGAGGAATTTGTAGGTGTTATTGTATATATATATGCTTATTTTAAATCACATTTAAGCTAAATATTTTACTTTTTTGTCCAATCTGTCGTGAGCTGAAGCAAATTTTGCTGTTATGATTGGAAAGGGGACTTGGAACACAACAACAATAAAGCCTTAATCCCACTACGTGGGGTCGGCTACATGAATCCTTTTTCTCCATTGCTTCCTATTTAGTGTCATATTTTCATTTAGTTCTATTAAATTAAGATCCTTTTTTTTACAATAAGCCCAAGTCTTCCTAGGTCTACCTCAGCCTTTTTTAACCAAGTCGAATCTAAAACATCTACTCTCTTAATCAGATCATCAGATGGTTGACGTTTAATGTGACCAAACCATCTAAGACGACTTTCTCTAATTTTGTCCGTCACATGAAAACCAGACTCTAAACCTGAAAGAGGAGCACGAGTAGGAATAGAAAAGTCGCCGGCAAGTGCCTTAGAATAGGAACGCATCGCGGAGGCCATAGCAGATCCCGTAGCTGTCTGTGTAGTTGAATCCCAAAATCCCGTAGCAGTCGCATCTCCTGCTGAGAGCGTGAAACAATCGGCGGTGCTGGCTAGCGAAGCCAAGATGCAATCGTTTCGTGCGAAGCCGAGACACAGACAGAATCACTAGGGCGGTGCTAGCTAGCGAAGCTGTCCTAGGGCACGCCTGAGCGTGTCGTCGACGTCCCAACAGGTTGCAAACACGATCGTATCACGAGAGTTCGTCACGCAAGGGCCGAACCCTAAGTCATCGAATCGTGGCGGCGGTGTTAGTGCAAGGGGGAGTTTTTTCTTCCACTATATATATATATATATATATATATATATATATATATTGCTTATATTGAATAAAAAAAAGGATTATATAAGTTAAAATAATGAAAATCATATACTTTGATAATGTAAAGTTAATATTTAATTAGAATAATATAAATTATTAAGTTTGTATATATGTAATTACATAATCAATAAAATTAAATTTTAATATAAATATCATGTTTATTTTAGGTTTTTAATTTAGAATAGTCGATGTCAAGCCAAATTAAATTAATCAACACTGAGGTGAGTACTCATATTTTTTTTTGCTTTAGTAATTTTTTATTTCTTCTCGACCAAATGTATTTGCTGTTATTTTTATAATATTGCGTACTTATAATTTATGGTTCTAATGAATTTTTTTCATATCGTAAAAATGATCTTGTGTGCTCTGTTTTGTTTAATTTATCATTGAGTCCTTTACAACAATATTGATTATTATGGAAATGAAAATGAATATTCAATATTAGGAAATAATATTTTTATAATGTGTTTGTATGTGCATGTATGACTATGATGGAGCATTCTTAAAATCCATAGCAATGTCTCACTGAATCACATAATATGGCACTTTTGGTATTGCAACATGTTGTTGGTTCCAAGGGAATGTTGTCACCCTGGAAGCTTTTGATTTTAACACAACTAAAATGATTTCTTTTTTGAGAACTAAAGAACATGCATGTTTTTCTGATTTTGATTCATTTTAGGTCGAGCACCAGGAGTAGATTTGGTATCATGTTTAATTTCACTAGTTTATCATTAACTTATGTGTCATCCTTGCGTTATCTGTATTACTGATACATGTGAATTATCTGCTATCACCTTTGCAAAGGGTTATTAATCTAATTTTGATTCTATTGCATACTTTGTTTGATATAGAAACCTAACGACATACTTAAGGAGTTTGGATTTGGAAGTGGAGCTCTAGATCCAACTTGGAAGGTTCCATGGACTTCAGTTATAATTCATCATCTCGTGAGACAACTTCCAAGTAAAATAATTAGCGCATATGTGTTTGAGATTTTAGAGATTTTTGAGCTCATTAAAGATATCTCTCTCAACCAGGTATCTTTAATTTTCAATTTGTTATGCTGTTCTTATTCGGTTTCTAACTTATTATTTTGGTTATTTTTTGTTCTCTTTTTATGCTCTTTATTTTCTGCACTTTGCAGCATTTGAATTACAGGGTGCTTGGACTTAAGCTCTGTGAGAGCCCTCCACATATATGTTATGTCGAATCTATATTAAACAGAGTTATGCAGGTAATAAACCATGGTATAGGATATTGAATTTTTTGTGTGTTTAGTTTACAACTAAACTTATGATTGATAATTGAAAATAGTGTCAAAATGGTCTCCTGATATTTTTTAGAAGGATACTTTAGTTCCAAATTTATTGAAGTGTCAATTCAGCTACCCAAACATTTTTAATATAAGCTGAAATATTCTCTACTCTTTAAATGGAGGATTGCTTCAGCCGCCATTAAAAAAGTTTGGGGATTAATTTGGTATTTTTAATTGACTACAGTACAAAAATCATCTCATGTAAATTGTCAGGAGACAATTTTAGCACTCTACGCATTGATAATTTGAGATCTTTGATTGATCGGTAATCTTATGTGAAGTCTCCAATGCCATCTTATAAAAAGTGAAAAGAGTTAGAAATTTGAGAAGCGTAATGCAGACCGTGCTTTGGCTTTTGGGAATACTGGGATATTAATGCAAATCATGGCTTTACCTTTCTTGAGCCTTAACTATTTCTGGAAACCAATAATTACATGTTTAGAATCAAATCTGGAAAATATTTACTTGGTTGGATATTGACGGGAGTGCTTATCGAGTTGCGGTACTGTAGCTGCTATAGTGTCGTGGTCTAGGCCTTCCCTCCCCCTCTTCTTTCCCATTCCATCCCCTTTCTTATTTCTATCTAATTTCGACCCCTTCCTATTCTATTGCTTGCCTTTTCTATCTTCCCTATTTCTATTTCATTCCAATTCCAATTCCTCCGTATTCATTGTTTGTTTTTGCCTAGGTTGGGTAGGTTTTTTGGATGATTGTTGACTTCAGTGTCTGCCTTTGAGGCATTCTTCCTCTTTCGGGGCAGTATTCAATGACGAGAAAGTGCTCCGCTGTAACTCATTCGAGGTGGTGCTTGACTTCAAATGTTCGGGTGGTACTCTGACACGCCTTAAAATTACTTATTTTTAATATACATTTCATGCTTATTTTTTATGATATTGCCCTTTAATGTAAGGTATTTTACATGTTTTTTGATTTCAGGTACAGAAAATGAAGTTTATAGGAAAATGAGTGAAAATGGATGTAAAATGGAGTCATGAAGCAGTGGCTCTTTAGCGCCACTTCTGGCGCCTAAGCGCTAAAGTACAGACGAGATTAGCGCTGAGGCGTCAGAAACGGTTACCCCTTTATTTCAATGAATTTGAACGAATTTTGAAGAGAATTTTGAAGAGACATATGATGCAACCATTGGTGATTTTCAGAGCTTTACATATAGGGATGAATTCCAAACGAATATGGTATGTGTGGAGTCGGTTTAGAGTAGGTTAGACCCCCATTAGAGTGGGCAGCCACCATAGTGAGAGTGATGAGTCTTTGTGATTGCTGGAGTTTTGTGAGTCTTGTAAGAGCCTATTGGAGTCAAGGAAGTCTAGGAGCTCTAGAGGATTGCTTGGGGAAGAGTTTGAAACAAATATTTGTGCTTTTTTTTAAGTTTTGTTTTGTGAATTTGAGTTTTAATATAAATCATGTTTTGTTTTGTTATCCCCATGAATTCTGAGTAGTTTTTCTTTTTTTTCTCCTTGCAATAAGAAGTAATCATATGAAGGATTTAATTTGTTCAGAACTTATTTTATTTCCAAAATTGTGATAATATTTTCACCGGTTTTTCATTTACTTTGCAACTGACCACTTGTAATGTTAAAATTCGTTGCAAAACATGATGACCCGGGAGGGCTATGATTTCACTCAACTAGTGAGTATAACATTAAACTTACGAGAAGGCGGCCAAAATCTTAAGAGAGTGCAAATGATAGGGAGATAAGTTTTAATGGGCGTAAAATTAATGTTTCTAGGGTGATAGGCTAGATTCTTTACTAATTTGATATAGAGTTGAAACCTGAGTCCCTGGTAGGTCTTATAGACAGGACATAGTGGGTAATCTAGAAGTGAGAGACTAAAATTTATTCAGCACTATCATACAATCAGAAACTTACTTTAGATTAGCTAATGTTATTTATGCACTCGGGAGAGACTAAATAATGTGTATGCTCCTATTTGTCACAATACATCATTTAAACCTTTAAATCTTTTGATTCCTACACAGATTATGAACTCATTGCAAGGAGAAATATTTTTTCATAATTAGAACTTTCTTTTACATTTAACATAGTTTAGAATTTTTGCAATTACATTTAGTTTTAAACACAACTTATAGGAATTTTGTAGCTTTACTTTATACCTGAATTTGCTATTATATTTTCTAAATTAATTTCTGCAGTTTTAAGTAAAAGTTTCACTAAAAGTCTGCACAAAGAATTTTTGCTTCTCATGGGATCGATAGTGGGTTTTTTATAGAAAACTTTATATTACTTGAAACGATTCGTATATTTGTGTTGTATCCATAGTGTGAAAACTATTATTCTAAACTTTATAAAATTTTATTTATTTATACTAGTCGTTGAATATAAATTGGGTCAAGTTTTGTACTATCTTTTGGAATATAAAAATCTGTGTAATTGTGAGTAGGGTCAAGTTTTTTGCGCTGTTATCGGGAGAGCGATGAATTTTTTGGACTTAGAAATTCTATTTAAATTGTGGAATTATTTTATAAAAAATTGTAGTGTTAAAAATATTTAAAAAATATTTTTAAAACCAAAAAAGTTTTAAAAACCGAAATTTTTTTAAAAAATATTTTTTTTGTCATTTTGAGTGTTTTATTTTATTTTTTGAACTTTCACATTTTGTATGTGTAGTTCAGAATTCGAAGGTTTAGTAACTTATGATTTTGAGTTAGAATAAATGTTTAGAAGAATCAGAAAACAAGAAAAACTTCGCAATTTATAAGAAATGACTAACACAACACATAATAACATTGATATTCAAATTGCTAAAAATGAACATCATATTGTACAAAGACCTTTAAGGGAATATGCAAACCCTACAACAGATGAAATTCGCTTAAGGGTACAAACCCCTGCTGTAACGGCTAATTCATTCAAACTTAAATGTGCTATTATCAAAATGGTACAAAACAATCAGTTTAGGGGAACACCATCTGAGGATCCAAATTTATACCTTGCATGTTTTTTAGAACTATGTGCTAAATTAAGTATAATGGTGTATCAAACGATGCTGTAAGACTTAGATTTTTTCTATTTTCCTTAAATGATAAAACTAAGATGTTGTTAAACGCTTTGGCACCTGATTTTATTAGAAATTGGAGAGATTTAACACAGAAATTTTTTGCTAAGTATTTTTTACTTTTAAAAACTACTAAGCTTAGAAATGACATTACTTCATTTACTCAGTATGAAGGTGAGTTAGTATATGAAGCTTGTGAAAGATTTAAATAAATTCTCAGAAAGTGTCCACATCATGCCTTGTCATTCTGGTTAATTATTCAAACATTTTATAATGGGTTAATAGAACCCCTTAGATCTATTATATGTGCTGTGGTTCTAGGTTTATTAATGTCAAAACCATTTGATAAATCTTATGCCTTAATTGAAGAGATGATTACTAACAATTTTTAATGGTCTTTTGAAAGGGTAAATCCTGAGAAAGTAGCCAATGTTTACGATAATGATGATATTTCTATTATGGCATTTGAAGTTGTTGTGATATCTATGACGATAAACCAATTTGGAATGAACAAATCTCAAAACCTCATGTGATTGAAGTCATTGGGACAAATAATTGATCCTCAACCATTATTAGAGACTTTAAATGCAATTAACAATAGACCTAATAACCTATATTCTAACTATTATAACCCAAGTTGGAAAAACCACCCTAACTTTAACTGGAATAATAATTTTGGTGGTGGAAATCAACAAGAGAGGAGCAATCAGGCAAACTAATTGGGAAATTGGAACATCCAGAGAAATACTAACTATAGATCTGCTTATCATCCTAGCTTTAATAACTAATAATTTAAGGAAAAGAAGTTGTTCATAGAAGAAGTGGTGTTACAGATGGGTAATCAATTACAAAGTCTGAGTGTTGCAATTAGAAATATTGAAAATCAACTGCGACAAATTGCTAATGCACTTAGCAATAGGTCTCAAGGGACACTTTCTAGTAATACTGAATAAATCCGAAAAACAAAAACAAATAACAAGAGCAAGTTAAAGTTGTCCAACTCAGGAGTGAAAATAAATTAAATATTGGAATTCAGAAAGAGATTGAAGTTGAGAGAGAAATGATAGAAACTAAAAAAGTTGAGGAATATGTTTCTAAGGATGTGGAAAAACATGTCTCTTCAACTAAGATTAATTTAGAAAGATCACCACTTTTTTTTTCTCAAAGACTTAGACAACAAAAACTGGATCAACAATTTTTAAAGTTTTTGAGATATTTAACAAGCTTACAATCAATATTACTTTTGCTAAAGCTTTAGAACAGATGCTATGTTATGCTAAATTTATGAAAGAGATTTTAAACAAAAAGATTAAATTTGAAAATTATGAAAGTGTTGTCATGGTGAAGAATGTAGTGTAATAATTCAAAAAAAACTTCCTAAAAAACTCAAGGATCCTAGTAGCTTCACTATATCTTGTGCAATTGGAGAAAACATTTGTGAAAAGATTTTATGTGATTTAGAAGCTAGCATTAGCCTCATGCAATTATCTATATTTAGAAGGTTAGGTTTAGGAGAGATTTCTCTAACTACTGTAAATTTTCAGTTAGCTGATTGATCTATCAGTTATCCTACGAGAGTTATAGAGGATGTATTAGTGAAAATGGATAAATTTATTTTCGCTGTGAATTTTGTTGTGTTAGATATAGAGGAAGATAAATAATTCTTATCATTCTAGGGAGACTTTTTCTTGCTACTGGACAAGCAATGATAAATGTGCAGAAATGAGAGTTAGTCATGAGAGTTAACGACCAGAAAGTTAAATTTAATGTGTTTAAATCTATGAAGTATTCAGCTAAAGGAAAAGATGTTAAATGTTGTAGAATGGATAGTATTGACAATTTGATTGTTAATCATTTATAAGAAAAATGTTAAGTTATAACAAATAAAAAAAGAACTGGAGGATGAAAATGAAATTGATTTGCAAGATAAATCAAATGAGATATATACTGAGGATTCAAATTTTGTTCAGGAAAGTTTTGAGATTTTGGACATTACTTAAAATAGTAAACCTCTAATCTATTACATTGAAAAACCTTCTAAACTTGAGATGAAGGTGCTCCCAACGCATTTAAAGTACTCATTTTGAGGGAACTTATCAACATTACCCGTTATAATATCCTCAGATTTAACTAAAGCTCAAGAAGAAAAATTAATAGAGATGTTTACGAAAGATTTACACTAATGCTGTGTAAGATGCCTTGAAAGTTCTTAATTGGAAGGAGGTTGTCTTTGAGGAGATGAAATGTCTGTAAAAAATGACATGCATTGGTGATCTACTTAGAAGAAAGATGTCGGATACAAATGAGTATTTATAGTTAAGTATAATTCTGATGACTCTCTAGAATGGTACAAGGTTTGACTGGTTGCCAAGAGATTCACTCAGAGCTATGACATTAGTTACTTAAAGATATTCACCCATTCTGTAAGAGTTCTTCTATAATTTGCACTAATTTTGATTGAGCTATACAACAGTTAGATATAAAAAATACATTTCTTAATGGGGACTTGGAGAAATAATATAGATGATTGTACCTCTAAGATTTAGTGAGAAGTTCGACACAAAGTTGCGCAAACTAAAAAAGTCCTTATATGTGCTGAAGCAGTCACCAATAGCATGGCTTGAGTAATTTGCACTGTTTGTTAAATATTAGTGGTATACTCAAAGAAAAGGAGACCATATAATGTTCTTCAAACATTCAAAGGATGTGAATATAGACATACTGATTGTGTATGTGGATGATGTCATTCTCTATGAAGTGACGCATATGAAATGAACCAATTGAATACTTCGCTCTTCCGTTTTTGTGACCAAACTAGGATCTTTGAGGTATTTTTTTGACATAATGGTTACTAGATCGAAGAAAGGGATTGTTGTTTCTCAATGAAACTATGTTCTCGATCTTCTATAGGAAATTGAGATGAGTGTTTGTTGGTCTATATTCACTCTTATTGATCCAAATTAGAAACTGAGGGGTGAGAAGGAAGGAGACCCAGTAAATGTAGCTCAATATCAAAAGTTGGTGGGAAAATTGATATACTTACCACATATACAACCATATATCACATTTGTTATAATTAATATGAAAATTTCAGCAGTTAACAGGATTCTCAAAGATCTAAAGAGTACACCAGGTAAGAGTTTACTCTTTTAAAAGACCACACAACAAAACATGATGCATACACCAATTTAGGTTAGGCGGGCTTAGTTGTTGATAGGAGATATAATTGGGGAAATTTGGTTATAGGGAGAAGCACTAAACAGAATGTGGTGGCAAGGAGTATTTCCATGGTAGAATACCGAGCTATGACTAATGGAATATATGAGATGTTATGGTTGAAGAGAATTCTTGAAGAGTTACGAATCCCGATAAACATGCCAATGAAGTTGTACTATGACAATAAAGCTGTCATAAGCATTGCAGAAAATCTAGTGTAACATGATCACACAAAACATGTGGAGATTGATAGACACTTCATAAATGAGATGATTGATTTTGGAGCTATTTGAATGCCTTTCACTCCGACAATGCAACAAATAGAAGATATCTTCACCAAGGACTTTTAGGCCTAGTTTTGAGTTCCTTGTAATCAAGTTGTGCTTGATAGATATCTATGCTTCAACTTAGGGGGGCGTCGGAATTTTGGGAATTTTCCCTTTTGATATCGTCTATTTTTATTATTTTTTACTTTTAAAATTAGCTACTGTTGGTAATTTTTATTTCTTTTTTCTAGCATGATGATTTTGTGGCTTTCCTAGTGTTGTGGCCAACCCCTGCTTAGGAAATTGAACATGAATGTTTATTTTTGCCCTCCCAAAAACTACAACTTAAATAATGAACATATTTAAATAACTAACAATACTATAATAATATTGATGGATGTCTTGTATTGCATCGATGGCACTCAAACCAAGATTGAATACAATTTTAAAATCTTCATGGCCTTTGCTTGGAACTCTCTAAGGCTCACTGGATTATTGGTAGACATTGATCACAGTATGGTGGACTCTACCTGAGATTAGCCTAGCCCACACATTTGTTTCTTTCATGAAAAAACCATTCCATATTACTAATGGAGGATTGCAAATCAATTTTGAAGGCCCCTTTCCATTGTTGATGTAACCATATAACACCATATAGCACGTTGTGTAGTATATGAATTTGGCCGAGCTGAGCCACTTGTTGAAAGTTATGCTGTGGTGACAGCTTAACCACATCTACAATTGTGGCATGTTCCCTTTTTTTTTCTTTATTGGGTTTCGCTAATTGTATTACTGGTGGGATTTTGACTAGTTGGATTATCAGGATTGTTCCTGAGCGATGTCTGCATTGTATTTTCTTCTATGATGGTTCTGAGAACTTTATTGCTTAGTCAATCATACTATTTCAAGCGCATAATGTGCTGATTGATTATTTAAGTTTATAGAAAGTATTGACATAATCACTTATGAAGATTCATGTATTTACCTGATGTGATTAAATAATAATAAAAATGTATTTTCTTCATGATGGGTGTGCTTGCATATTGCCAGTTCTTGTCAAACTTACCTATGCAAGGCTTAGCATGTAATTAATCATGACTACCCTAGACAGCCATGTCTTCCCACTTCTTAAAACATGATGCTATTTTTGGTTGCTGGCTGTATGCTATTCCCAATTTTCTTCTAACTACACCTTTTTTATAATTTCTTTTGTACCAGGTCCTTTCTCAATATAATCATCTTGAGGAATATTTGGTAGTTGCAAATGCTTACTTGGACATTATTTTACAGTGCCCAACGGTAATTTCTTAATCAATACTATAGATGTATAAAGCTTTCCTTGTATTTTGTTTTTGTTTTCATTGTGTAATGTGCTATTCTACCCAAAGTTTTTTCCTCCATATATGTGGATTATAATTTTTCTGTCTTTCATTTCTGATCAACAAATTCCATTTTAGATTATTACCTGTCTTGTTTTTCTGCCTTGGTGTATTTTTATTTAATTGGGAGGTGGATAAAACTAACCTGCACTTTTTATGTGTATTGCACTTGATTGAGAGAGCTTCTGTACTTTAATGTGAAGCTATGGTCTTACTTTTGCATGCTGCATAAACCAAGTTTTTGGGGAATATTTTAGCAAGCAATGATAGTTTTTTATTCTTCTTTTAATCAAGAAATCTCGTAGAATGTGCTGAATATATTTAGCAACTAGCATATCACCATCTCAAATTCTTATAATTGGCTATTTTATCTTTTATTATGTGGTAAGATCAAATTAGGCATCGAAGAGGACTGCTCTCATGTAGTTGTGGATATTTGCTCCATATTTGTCGCAGGATAATGTCATCAGATGGTCGATGTTTAATGTGACCAAACCATCTAAGGCGACTTAATAATATTTTTTGCCACTAGAGGTACTCTAACCTTTTCACAGATATATTTGTTTTGCATTTTGTCTCTGTATAAAACACTCGTCCACCTGAGCATTCTCATCTCAAAAAGACTTAATTTATGCTTCTCTTTTACAGGCCAACATTCTGCCCTCAAAAGCAATACGGTTCTTATCACCATCTTATAAAATTTTTCTTTAAGTCTAAACGGTACTTTTCTATCACACAATAGCCTTTGCATTCCTCCATTTTAACATCCAACTTGAATTCTACTAATGACATCCCCATCTATATTACTACTACTTTGAACAGTACACCCTAGATATCTAGAACGTTCACACCTTTAATGACTCGATCACCTATTGTTACAACCACCACTTGATCTACTATTTTTAAAATTACATTCCATGTATTTAGTTTTAGATCTAGTCAATCAAAAGCTTTTAAACTCTAATATTGACATTCATAATTCAAGTTTTTCCTTAACTCTCTCTCTCTCAAGTCTTATCCACAAGAAGGATATCATTAACGAAAAACATACACCAAGGTACATCCTCTTGTAAATGTCTAGTAACAACATCCATAAGTAAAGCGAAAAGATATGGGCTTAAAGTTGATCCTTGGTGTAATCCAACTGAATTACGAAAATACTTGGTCAATCCTCCCTGTGTTTGAACATAAGGAGCAACTTTAGTATGCACATCTTTAATGATCTGAATATAAGCAATATCAGCCCCTTTCTTTCTAGTATTTCTCTTAAAACTTTATCACAAGTTTTTTTCTAAATCTTCAAAAAACATATGTAAACGCCCCTTTCTCTTTACTTTTCTCTATCAAACCTCTCAATAAATGTATAACTTTCATAGTAGACTTGTCCGACATGAATCCAAACTAATATTGAGAAATTTTCGTATCATGTCGTAACTTATGTTTAATTACTCTCCCATAATTTAAATGTATGACACATTAACTTAATTCCTTTATAATTTGCCTCTTATGCATCCCCTCTATCCCGCTCATTATTCGTCTTTTTAATTTTTAAAATAATAGTAAAAAGCTTAGTAAGCGAATAAATTATCAAGTCTCCTAATCATTTACACACTTCTAAAAGAATAGCATCAGGTCCTACTATTTTTCATAAACTATTTTCTTTAAAGTTTCTTTAACTTTTGTTTTACTAACGTGACGGTAGAAATAAAATACTTTTTTTATTTTTAATCATATCAAGATACTAAATAGATCGTATTTTCATGATATTCATTGAAAAATTTATCAGATTATCTCACCCACGTATGTTGAATGAATATCCACATCTAAGAAAAATGTTTTTTAATTTTCATCTTTGATTACTCGAACCAAATCTTTACTTTTTTTCTCGTTTTGATTGACTAGTTCATACGTATATTTTTCACCGATTTTAGTATCTAATCTATTATAAAGATTATTAAAAAAACAAGATTCCTTGCATCCCAATTTAGCAGTTGGTAGGTTCAAAATTATAGAAAAGAATAAAAAAAGATCTGAAATAAAACTGAATAAAAAATAGCTCGGTCTGGTTCATACCCCGACAACACCTGGCTACGAATAACATCCTTTTTATCATATTACCAGGATAACATTAAAAGCATAAAAACACTCCCAAACAATTTAAGCTCCAGCCACTTCGGCCTCCCCTTTCATTGGGACATCCTCCCCAGGCCTGTCAAGTTTAACACCAATATCTTCTTTATAATGTCCATGAACCTCCATGAGTTTTCCAAGATCGAACTTTGGAGCCTTGAGGATCTTAACCTTGCGGATAAACACATTCTGGAGGGGATAGATGCTCATTGTCGCCTTCTCAATCTCTCCTATCACCTCCGGAATAAATTTTTGTACCAATTCCTTTAGATCACACGACGAAGCTTGGTTCGTCATAATCTCCCTCATTTTGCGACGGATTTGTCTGATCTGACTGCTCTGAGCATAGCAAGTCCGCTTCACTTGATTTGGTCTTCTCTTGGTGAAGCCAATGCAGAACAAACGTAATGAATAATTATCAGTAGTCTTCACATCGACATGTGCTTTGATTAACGTCTGCCATTTACGAACCAGAGACCTCAGCTTGTCGGTGGTGAAATCCATTCCCTAGAGAAGAAATAGTAGTAAAGATTTAAAATAGAAATCTAATTGATAACTAAATTGTTAATGCAAAAATAATTAAATAATTATGTTTTAGACTTTTACCCAGAAGTTTGTGAGAACATTCTTGCCTTGGACGTCCTCTGCACGAAGCCTAATCTTCTGGTATGCCTGACCCTCATCATTCTGAAGATCAGCGAGGGAAATCTCAAACACTATGTGCTTGAGACCTTCGGAAGCAATCTTAGTTCCCTGCGTCCTCGACACAAGGGTCTTCCCGATATCCTCACGGTAAAGACCGACGGAGCCTTGATGTCATACCAATCCTTCTTCGAGAAGGGGTTGACAGTCTTCTTCTTTCCTCCCTTCTTACCCTTAGAGATCCTCTTGTTCTTCCCAACCTCCATGTCTGATTTCTTCCGCCACCGGTGCCTAATAGGGTTTGAGAGGAAGTTCTAATATGGTAACCCATATATGTATTAATTCTCCAAGCTTTTATGACTAAATTAATTTTTATAATAAAATTTTCTATTTTTTTATGTTTTCTTGCACTTTATTATTCCACTACCAGCTATTTTTATTCATAAGAGTTTTTTCTTTTAATTTCCCAAACACATCTTTTGTAACTTGTTTAACTGTCTCATTAATTTATCCCATATAGTTTTAGTTTTATGAACATCCAAAATTTTATGATCTTGAAATTTACTCTTAAAAGTAATTTTATTTATCTTTTAAGTTCCCTCTTTTAATTCTATGATAATATTTTGTTGTATTTTTCATCTTCCAATTCTTCTTCTTAAAATCCAAAATCAATAATTGATGTTGGATATTTAAATATTCAATTGGAATGACCTTACAATCTAATATAATCTCGACAATATATTTTTCTCATGAAAAAATAATTAGTTTGTGTTTTATTAAATCCATTATTATAAGTAATAATATGCTCTTCTTTGTTCTTTAATAAAATATTATCAATAACAAAATCTTATGCTAAAACAAAATTAAATATAAATCTATTTTATTGCTCAGTCACTCAAAATTATTATCCGTCATAATTACTTCTAAAATTTTCTATCATTCTACCAATATGTTCTTTTAAATTTTCTTCAATAATAATTATATATATAAATTCATAAATTAATATTATAAAACCCTTACCTTAAAAGTATTTTTCGGTCTCCCCTTTACGCATGCGGTCTCCCCCTCCCTTCTTCTCTGATCAAAGCTTCTTCTCCACTTTTATTTTCTTCGCACAAAATAAGCCTGCACGAGACCTCGTTTCAGCCTGATACTGCTTCAGACCACCTACCTTTGGTCGAGTCTCAACTAAGCACCGCAAGCCTTCAACTGCTCCTCCTTCCTTCTCTGCATTATGTCGTAGGTAAGTGTGGTCGTCTCGTCGAATAGGGTTCAGATTGACCCACACAAAAATGAATGATGCTTTCTCCTTTGGTTTCGTCTCCTAGTTGTTTGCTTCTTTCAGAGGAAACACGCACCTCCTTCTTTCTATTAGGGTTTGACGGTTTCCTTTCTCCCTCCATTCATTTTCTTTCTTCTGATTTACGATGGACATACCCAATGACATCATTAAACGGGTAAGAGAAGAGTTATCCTTCATTCTCCCTCTCGTTGTCTCTCTGCACTGTTTAATAGTTCGATTGAAATGCTCCTTTCATTGGCTCATTGAGAAATGATAATGTTGAGACGATTCATCGAATCGTCAGTACCATTCAATTGTCTGTTTATTTATTTATTTATTTATTATTATTATTATTTAACAATTATTATAAGCTATTTACCGAACATAAAGAATTTAGCTGGACAACTAAGATGAGTAATCATATTTTTAAATTTTAGTAATCTTCTTTATTTCAAAATATATGTTTGACTCCATATATGTTCTTGTTTAGTTAGATTCTTCATATTAATTTAGAAAGGATATATATGCATTAAAGATATATATGAGATGTATGATATACATGATATGCAAGATAGACATGATATAAGAGATATGAATGATATGAGAGATATGCATGATATCTATAATCATTTGTTGCACAATAGAGTAAGTATTTTTGTTAATAGAGCTTGAAAATGTTTCAAAATAGTGCATGTTATAAAGAATAAAATACTTTATATAGATGTTTATATGTGTCAGTTCAGAGTTCACCCCCTAATGATGCAGACAAGGGACGCTAGTGTATCCATGTGCATAGTTTTTTTCTGCCACCCTAGAAAATTGTGATGGTTATATCACTAACTGCTGTGTCGCGGGATAATATCGGT